GTTTCACTCGTTGCGTGAAATTATTCTTCCTTTGGGCCTGAATTATACGACACTGTCAGTGAGTAGTTAACCAGCTATATATATAATCGGACACAAGTATCCCACACGTAATGCAGGCTAATATGTATATGAAAACTGCATCTCTAATTTTATTATGAACACTTCTCGTTTATTGGACGGTAATTTATAGCTGGATCAGGGCACAAATGGGATCTCCTCATCCAAACTAGTGTGCCGGTCTCAGTCATGCACCGAATATACAACCGAATCGATAGGTGACCTCTCGGTTATCGACACAAGGTGCTTCCAATTCCTCCACGAACTACAAGATGCTGGTTCATCCACTTGCAGCTCAGTACATTCCAATACAAAACTTATTGAAGCTCTGAATAACGTCCAAATTATCGGCTAAGGACTGGTGACATAACGTCACTTCACAGCCCTTTCGCTGTTCTACATCTAGATCTGGTAAGAATGCCCTCAACTCAATGTCGATTAGATGCACTTGCGCAGACATGGAAGACGTGACGTTGTGGTTTGCTTGTGCTCTATAAATCTCCTGAGAGGATGGATCCTAGCGCCGATGATAATTGTTTATTAGCGGTCCTTGTTACAAAGACCCAAAGGAAACCGCTTGAACCTCGGGTAGATAATTCCACTGAAACGCATCCCTAGGGAGCAGGGAACAAAGGTCTTTCGAGTGAAGGGAATCATCATCAGAACTATGAAGCAATGAGAAAGTCCAGGTGCACGTTGTCAGTGGCATACTTTTCACACCTGTGGGAAAAAACGGGTTGGTGTAATTCCACTGACGAAATAGCGGTTCATCTACTGTTGTGTTTAATGAGACAAGCACTAGTACGTTGTCAATGGCATACTTTTCACACCTGTGAGAAAAAAACAGGTTGCTGTAATTTCACTGACGAAATAGCGGTTCATATACTGTTGTGTTTAATGAGACAAGCACTAGAACACTATAACATTTACCAAGAATTATTTGAGCGCGGACAATATCTTGCCGTTCAAGTGTGGTATCATTCGCGCTTTACCATAATGAATCACTCCAAAGATCAAAAATTGTTTTCCAAAAACAAAACAGGCAAGTTCTGCTTTAACAAACAAACGAGATCACGCAAAAATCTTCCGGGAAGATAGTTTTATCGAACCAAGAAATGTCTGTCATGACAAGTACTCTGTGAGTGAGAAACTCTGGGCATACTGAATAGACATGGCACACTACTCATAAGATTGCTGAAAACTCTCTGACAGTCGAAGAGTTGGAGTTTTTAGCAGCATTATGATAGTGTGTAACGTCCATGCAGTTTTTCGCAAAATCCAAAATAAATGAAACATAAGGTTGGCTGGTGCAACATATTCAGTTGGTATACAACTGAGTTTACTTGTTGGGACAGTTTCTGGTTATTATCCCAGACCGCCACACGAGGGTTCGCTAAATTAACTTGATTAAATGGACAATTGTCATGGTTTAGCTTGGAGCAAATCTGCGGGGCAAAGCGGAAAAGTGTGACATCGTGAAACGATCTGTTTACGTCGCTTGTATGGTGTATTCCGCGAAACAAGCTCTTTGCAGCTGTCAAGCTACCGGCTATATATCCAAATACGATCGTATGGATAATGAAAGATTGGTGAGTTAGCATCAGTCTTTGTCACCGGGACACCGTCTGGTCCTCAGTGTAGTGGTTGGCTGAGTAGTTGTGTTTAGTATGACCTTGCCTGTACCGACGTGTTTGGTACTAGAACGACATAGGCATCAAAGTCGCAATAATCTATTCTTCAACACTGAAGGTTTCTGTAACTTCCTGGTTTCTAAATATTCTACCAAGTAGTCGCGCTCAAATGAGACCTTAAGAGGTGATTTTTTCTGTGTTTAGTCTTATAAAATCTCACCCATTTCCTCCAACCTTGTACTCATTTCGCAAATGTACTTGCCTTGTGAGTTGTTATCGCAAGTATTACTGAGAAACATTGCGCCAAAATTAGTCAAGGCATCATGCTCACCTACGTTCCTAATGCATTCAGAAAGGGTGAGATAATCCACTAACTGGTCTAATATCCGATGGGTGACTTGAGCAATATTTGCAGACAAGAAATAAAATGTTGACTTCAGGGTAGCGCGAGTTGTCATTGGCAAAATTAAACAATAAAGCGCTCCATGGATGATCCAAATGGTCGGGAATCTGGAGAACACAAACTTATCCTTTATTGATTTATGGTGTCAGAACCTATCAGTCCTAATCTCCAGTAGATGGTCACAGTTTCTTCATTTTTGTCACATGAATTGACTGAGTGCAGTGTTTGTCCAAAAGTTCTATGGATTAAATCGCTTTCCATTTATGTAGGCACACACTAAGCAGTGCCTTCCGAGGTACAACGGAATTGACCGTGAAACACAGGACAGAACAACATATATTAATGTCGTATATATATATATATATATCATATATCTGCGTTAGTTACAACTGTTTAGCTATTTACTTTTATTACGTATACCACAAATTTATGATCTAGCTTTTCGAGGTCCTCTGTACAAGTGCTCAAACTGCCATCCAAAACGAACCAATAGGGATAAGGTCCATCAGCATGCGAGGTCAAAACGTTAATACCCAGGCATGTTCCCGTGATTATGCGTTCATGAAAACCAACCTAACAGCGTAAAACCTTGGAAAGGCGATGTTCAAGCCAAATGCTATTCAAATGATGCACTCAAATTCAGTAAACTCAAATCAGTAACGAAAAAAAAAACAATAAAATGTCCGAACTCATATTAGTCCTCATATGGTCTGTGATCATATTCTCCATGCCGGAACATGCTTCATTCAGTTCCTTCTGTGTGTTTGGATGGGATGTTATCTCAACCGGAAGGCTGGATTCGGGTGGGACGATGAGAAACAGCACACTGGCTGCATGAAAATCAGCTGACTGAAGCATATGACAAACGTTAACTTGCAGATTAATTTGCTG